AGGCGCGTGAGGGGTGTACCGAAATTAGTGGCGGGGGCGCATGCGGACTGTGCCACTGGGACCTTCGGCGGAGCTCCTACGGGGCCACGAAACGTGTGTAAGGTGGGCCGAAATGAGTGGCGGGGAACGCATGCGGACCGTGCCACTGGGACCTTCGGCGGAGCTCCTATGGGGCCACGAAGCGTCTGAAGGGGTTTGCCGACATCTTCGGTGGAGTTCCCTACGGTGCCACGAAACGTGCGAGGGGTGTGCCGACATGGGTGTGCGGGGCGCATGCGGGCACACCTGCTGGGACCTTCGGTGGAGCTCCGTATGGAGCCACGAAACGTGTGAGGGGTGTGCCGAATTGGGTGTGCGTGACACATGCGGGCACACCCACTGAGGCATTCGGTGGAGCCCCCATGGGGCCACGAAGCGTGCGAGGGGTGTGCCGAAATGGGTGTGCGGGACGCATGCGGGCACACCCACTGGGACCTTCGGTGGAGCTCCGTATGGAGCCACGAAGCGTGCGAGGGGTGTGCCGAAATGGGTGTGCGGGACGCATGCGGGCACGCCCACTGGGACCTTCGGTGGAGTTCCCTATGGGGCCACGAAGCGTGTGAAGGTGTTTGCCGAATTGGTGTGCGGGGGGCATGCGGGCACACCCGCTGGGACCTTCGGTGGAGCTCCCTATGGGGCCACGAAGCGTGTGAGGGGTGTGCCGAAATGGGGGTGCGGGACGCATGCGGGCACACCCGCTAGGACCTTCGGCGGAGCTCCCTATGGGGTCACGAAACGTGTGAGGTGTGTGTGCCGAATTGGTGCGAGGGGTGTGCCGACATGGGTGTGCGGGACGCATGCGGGCACATCCACTGGGACCTTCGGTGAAGCTCACTATGGGGCCACGAAACGTGTGAGGGGTGCGCCGAAATGGGTGTGCGGGACGCATGCGGGCACACCCACTAGGACATTCGGCGGAGCCCCCGATGGGGCCACGAAGCGTGTGAATGGTGTGCCGAAATGGGTGTGCGGGACGCATGCGGGCACACCCGCTGGGACCCTCGGTGGAGCTCCGTATGGGGCCACGAAACATGTGAGGGGTGTGCCGAAATGGGTGTGCGGGACGCATGCGGGCACACCCGCTGGGACCTTCGGTGGAGCTCCCTATGGGGCCACGAAGCGTGTGAGGGGTGTGCCGAAATTGCCCTTCGGTGGAGCTCACTATGGAGCTACCAACCATGTGATGGGTGTGCCGAAATGGGTGTGCGGGACGCATGCGGGCACACCCACTGGGGCCTTCGGTGGAGCTCCCTACCGGGCCACGAAACGTGTGAGGGGTGTGTCGAATTGTGTGTGCGGGACGCATGCGGGCACACCCACTGGGGCGTTCGGTGGAGCTCCCTATGGGGCCACGAAACGTGTGAGGGGTGTGCCGAAGTGGGTGATGATGATGATGACGATGATGAGGATGGCGATGCTGATGATGATGATGATGATTATGGTGATGATGCTGATGATGATGGTGATGATGAGGGTGATAATGCTGATGATGATGAGGGTGATGATGATTTGAGGGAGTTTCTGTGGAACTCACGTCATCCTCACCCCCGGCGCGAAGAGCACGAGTCCAGAGCGGCCTCCGGCACCGTTTCCGGACGGATCCGGACGGATCCGCTGGATCCGGGGACGAATCCCAAACCGGCGCCCTCGCCTGAGACATCCCCGCAAAACCGGCCCCGGGGGAGGTGCCCAGAGGAGCCCAGAGCGGCCTCTGGCACCGTTTCCGGACGGATCCGGACGGATCCGCTGGATCCGGGGACGAATCCCAAACCGGCGCCCTCGCCTGAGACATCCCCGCAAAACCGGCCCCGGGGGAGGTGCCCAGAGAAGCCCAGAGCGGCCTCCGGCACCGTTTCCGGACGGATCCGGACGGATCCGCTGGATCCGGGGACGAATCCCAAACCGGCGCCCTCGCCTCAGACATCCCCGGAAAACCGGCCCCGGGGGAGGTGCCCAGAGGAGCCCAGAGCGGCCTCCGGCACCGTTTCCGGACGGATCCGGACGGATCCGCTGGATCCGGGGACGAATCCCAAACCGGCGCCCTCGCCTGAGACATCCCCGCAAAACCGGCCCCGGGGGAGGTGCCCAGAGGAGCCCAGAGCGGCCTCCGGCACCGTTTCCGGACGGATCCGGACGGATCCGCTGGATCCGGGGACGAATCCCAAACCGGCGCCCTCGCCTGAGACATCCCCGCAAATCCGGCCCCGGGGGAGGTGGCCAGAGAAGCCCAGAGCGGCTTCCGGCACCGTTTCCGGACGGATCCGGACGGATCCGCTGGATCCGGGGGCGAATCCCAAACCGGCGCCCTCGCCTGAGACATCCCCGCAAAACCGGCCCCGGGGGAGGTGCCCACAGGAGCCCAGAGCGGCCTCCGGCACCGTTTCCGGACGGATCCGGACGGATCCGCTGGATCCGGGGACGAATCCCAAACCGGCGCCCTCGCTTGAGACATCCTCACAAAACCGGCCCCGGGGGAGGTGCCCAGAGGAGCCCAGAGCGGCCTCCGGCACCGTTTCCGGACAGATCCGGACAGATCCGGTGGATCCGCGCCCCGGGGGAGGTGCCCAGAGGAGGAATGAGGAGGAGGAGGAGGAGGAGGAGGAGGAGGAGGAGGAGGAGGAGGAGAAGATGATGGAGCTGCGGGGTGGAGGAGGACAGACGGAGGCAAGAGAAGGATGGAGGAGGAGGAGGAGGAGGAGGAGGAGGAGGAGGAGGAACCTCATCCTCACCCTCGCCAACAAGCGCACGCACCTTCTTCTATATACAGAAACTCCCGATCAACCGCAGAGCGGCCGGCTAGTAATGATGATGGGAGGAGGGAGGAGGAGGGGGAGGAGGCAGCGGGAGGAGGAACGAGGTGGGACGCGGGGCGCTGTTTCTTCAAAACGAGGACCCAACACCACAGGATGTATGGGACCAAAAACGCAGGGTTTCGTAACATTGTTTTTCAACCAAAACTGACGCGCGCGCTCTTGCGAAATCTTGACAGGTTGTTCAACGTTGCCAAAACAATATTACCAAACTGACTTCGCGCGCGCGCATGTCGAAATCTTTCGAACGCCTGTGCACGCGTGCCGTCGCGAGACTCCTCTGCAGCACGTGGGGCGAAGTGCGCGCGCGCTCGTCGTCGCGCGCGCATGCCGCAATCCTTCAAAAACCTTCGTGTTTCGGAAGGATTTTAGAATCGAGTTTCCAAAACACATACAAAAACACATGGTTTCGCAACGCTGGTTTTCACCAAAACGTGCGCGCGCTCTTGCGTCGTCCCGTCATCGCCGTCCTCCCTCCTCCTTCGTCGTCGTCGTCGTCGCCGTCGTCGTCCCCTGTTTTTCCTCGTCGTCGTCGTCTTGGCGTCGTCGTCGTTTCCGTCGCCGTTGTCGCCGTGGTCGTCCTTCCTCCCTCGTCGTCGTCGTCGGCGTTCGTCGTTGTCCCTCCTATTTCGTCGTCGGCGTCGTCGTCGTAGTCGTCTTCCTTCCTCCCTCTTCGGTGTCGTCGTCGGCGTCGCCGTCCTCCCTCCTTCTTCGTCGTTCGCGTCGTCGCCGTCCTCCGTCCTCCCTCGTTGTTGTCGTCGTTGTCGCCGTCGTCGTCCTCCCTCCTCCCTCGTCGTCGTCGTCTTCGTTGGCGACGTCGTCGTCGTCGTCGTCATCTTCGTCGTCGTCTTCGTCGTCGCTGTCGACGACGTCGTCGGCGTTGTCATCGTCGTCGTCGTCGGCGTCGTCGTCGTCGTCGATGTCGTCGTCGTTGTCGTTGTCTTCGTCGTCGTCGAAGTCGTTGGAGACGTTGTCGGTGTCGTCGTAGTCGTTGTCGGCGGCGGCGTCTTCGTCGGCGTTGTCGTTGTCGCTGTCGTCGTCGGCGTCGGTGTCGCTGCCAAGTGCCATTTGGTACCCACCGTCACGGTGTTAAGGGGTCTTGCGACTAAGTTGCGGGTGGGAGGTTGGGATGTGTGCACGAGCAGTGGAGAGGGCAGTTTCCAGTTGAGCGAGTGATTGATTGCACCACGTAGATTGCACCGCAGACATCGCAAGCGCTCACTGTGTGGGGCCCACGCGGGCGAGCATGCCATTCTTAGATAACAGCATGCGAGAATAATGTCGCCAGCATGCCGTGTCCACGTGCCGCGGTCTGCTGCGTTGCGCTTAGACGCCGTGTGTAGAGTGCGCCATGTCCCCGTGCCACCCTAAGGTTCCAGAGTGCGAACACATGGAGTGCCGTGCCGTGTTCAGGTTCTAGAATGCGAGGACATGTGCATTGCCATGCCCTCGCGCCGTGCAGTGCCGCGCCCCTTTTTAAATGCATAAAATGAGCTGCGTTGTGCCCGCGTTCCGCGTGCCGTACCGTGCCTTGCCGTGCTGTGTCGTGCCGTGCCTTCTAGAAAGCATAAAATGGCCGTGCCGTGCCTCGGTAATTGAATGCGGTAAATGTGCAGTATCGCGACGAGGTTCCAGAATATGAGAAGTATGCCATGTCGTGTCCGCGTGCCGCGTGCCGTACCGTATTGTGTTTGAAATTCAGAGCGGGATAGATGGCCATGCCGTGCCGCAATGAGGTATTGGAACGCGAACTAATCTCCTGCCGTGCCCAAGTGCCGTGCCGTACCACGCCCAGGGCTCAGGATTCACAATGCGAAGGATATGACTAGCCGTGCCCGCGTGCCGTGCCGTGCGAAACATTTGCCGTGCCCATGTGCTGTGCCGTGCAGTGCTCGCTTCCATGTGGCACTGACCACCCACACCAGGCACGCCACATTTGATGTGGACACGCCATGTGTGTTTTCATGCAGCGCTGCTGTTTCGGATTTGTCCTGCACTGGTTTCCCAGAGTTGCTTGTTTTTCGGTTTTGGCAGTTGCGATGATTGTCGGCGCTTGCCCAAGAAGGTGGAGGACAATGGCGACGAGAAGACCCCTCCCCCATCCCCCCTATCAGCCACCCTTCTCATTTTGCCTCCATCTCTGTGGCCGAGGCCCGGCCGCTTCGCTGGTCCAGGAGCCGAGTACGACGGGATGGAGTACGATGGCGTCAGGCGCCTTTCGCGAGGGAGCCCAGAGTGTCCAAAATACTCCAGATTCATGTGTGCGGACATGTTGGGTTCGCCTTTCCCGCGCTCGCTTTCTGCTTCATCCTCCTCGTCTTCCTCTCCCTTCGTCCTGTTTCCTCAGCCTCTCTTGCGTTTCAGAAGTGATCTTCCCTAGCAGCGAGGGCGTGCGTTTTAGTGTAGCATTTGGCTTGCACTTTGCCCACTAGCGTTGAGATCATCTTTGTACGTATGCAGTTCCAGAGTTGGGCAGCCGGTAGAAGCCTCGGCACAATTTACAAGAGCCACGCGTGCCAACGCAATTGGGCTGTGCAGGCCAGCGCGAAGCTGCTCTTCGCTCTAGACATGAGGGGCCGCCCCGGTGAAGGGCAGCGCACAGATGACCAAGGGCGTGGAGGCCCAGAACGGTGCAGCGCGTTGGCTGGCGTAGCTCGCGCAAGGAATTGTACACATGCAGATGGCGCTCAATGTGGCTGCCTGTCGTCCTCCCCCTATCCTCCGCCACCTTCCCATAATCTCCCTACCTCTCATATCCTGATCTTCCTCACCTCTCCACGCCTCCTCGCCGCCACCATAAGGAGGGAGGGGGGAGGGAGGAGGTCGCCAGGTGGCCCAGCCCGCGGGGGGCCGAAGCGTGCCCGGAGGGCTCGGCGACCTCGCGCTGCATGCCGCCTTCCCGAACGGCCTTAGGAACAGAAGTTGCCCCTGGCAGCCCCTTCCGTCGCCCTCTTCCTTCTTCCCCTTCCTCCGTTCTCGTCGGTCTTCCTGGCGGCAATGTGTGATGAGGAGCCAAGAGTGCGTTGGACGCGTGTTTGAAGAGGCATGCCCGTTGCCTCACAGAACGGGGAGCCGTCGCCTCGGAGGCCAACATAAAGCGAGCATCTAGCTCTTGCCAGTCGAAGGTGCGACAGGAGCCGGGGGTCCAGTGTGGATTGCTCGGGGCGACGACTTCCTTGGTTGCGCCTCGGGCAGACGGGCCTCAATCTCGGCGCAGCGCAGCTTCGCCCCCCCCCCTCCTGGCCCACCTGGCGCGACCGCCAAGGACGTCCCTCTCGAGTCCGCTGCGTTTCCTGGTGCTCGTCCCATTGGATTAGCTCGCCCGATCTGATTCGCCCATCTCGCCGCGCGGTCCTGATCGCCGCTTGACCAGCAGCAGCGTAGAGGGAGGTGATGGCTGGGACGGCCAGCTGCATGGGGAGTGCCAAGGGAAAGGCCGGGTTCGCTTGCCCTCGCGGGCCAAAATGCAGCGCTTGGCCATACGCCTTCAGGCAACCCGCCAGCGCGCCGCTCATACGCCACCTCTCCCTCCCTCCCTCCCTCTCTCCTCCAACTTCTTGATTGTCATCTGGTTGGCAAGCGTGCCGCCCCGGCAAGGTGGCACCTGAAGCAAGTGGACCTGGAGAGCGAGGGTGCCGGCCTCAACAAGAAGGAGTAAGAGGGAGAAGGCCGAGAATGAGGGAGGAGAAGGAAGAAGGATGGAACAGAGAAGCAGAAGGAGCAGGGGGGAGGAGGAGAGGAGGAGAGAAAGGGTGAAGGAACCACAGCTCCCAAGCTAAGGGGCCAGGCCGCGCCAGAATTGAACGCTCGGGCTTGAACCAAGCGAGCTGGCAGGTCCCAAAGCCACACTCTTACCACGATGGCCATACCGGCTGCTCGAGCTCACTCACAGTCAGGTGCCGTTGGCGATATCACAATGGGTTGTTTTTTTCCACAACCATCCTGTGGTGCGGGGTCCTCGCTTTGAAGAAACAGCGCCCTGCGTCCTCCTCCTCCTCATCCTCCTCCTCCCGTTGCCCCCTCCTCTAACCATCATAACGATCAGCAACCTCACCATCACCACCACCATCATCAACAGCAACCTCATCATCATCCTACCATCATCACCACCACCATCATCAGGATCATCGTCATCATCATCATCAGCATCAGCATCATCATCATCATCATCATCATCATCATCATCATCATCATCATCATCATCATCATCATCATCATCATCATCATCGCCAGCATCATCATCGTCATTGCCGCCGCCTTCATCGTCATCATAAGCATGATCATCGTCACCAGCATCGCCATCATCAGCATCAGCATTATCAGCACCATCATCACCGTCAGCAACGGCATCATCCTCTTCGCCATCATCACCATCACCACCAGCATCATCATTGCAATGACCACCGCCACCATCAGCATCAGCATCATCATCGTCGGCGTCATCGATGCCGTCACCGTCAGCCTCAAAATCACCACCATCATCATCAGCATCATTATCACCATCAGCACCATCTGCATGCTGTCTCTGATCCCCCCGTCCCCGAGCGCGTCGTGGTAGTCTGCAGCTGCTTCGGCTTTAAGTCCTCGCGTTCCCTAGGCGGTTGATTTACGCAGGCGCTTGCCCAGGCCGCTATCGAGGTTGCGGGGGCGGTGTTCCTCCATGGTCTCCGAGCCGCGCCCTACGAGCGGCTCGTAGGCCAACCTCTTGCACCACTCACGGACTACGTCGGATCATTCGCAGGCTCTTCCAGCGGGCGTTCAGCTCGTTCCATCGGGTCAACGCAGAGCCTTGCAAGAACACCTCCTTGAAGGTCTCGGCCGCTACGCGGACGCGTTTGCAACGCTCCGCCTTAGCCGCGGCTGGGAACGTCTGGCTAGCCGAGACGGCGAAGGACAGCTGGCGATACAACGTCTCGTCGCCGATGTCCAGGGCGAACTTGAAACCTTCCATGATGATGTCCGCGGGTTTCTTCGCCTCCGCGACGGCTGCGAGGCCGCCGTCGTCAAGGTCGCCCCAAGGCCGCGGCTTCTCACTGCGCGCGGCGCCGAGCACGAGGAGCGCGCGGTCGAAGGTCGGGCGGGGGGCGGGGCCGCTCATCTCGATGGCAACCGCAGTCATCCTCTGCAGGCGCTGGCCGGCAGAGTCCAGCGCGGGCGAGGCCGGCAGGGCCGGCGGGGCCGCGGCGTCAACGAAGAATTGCGCTGCATCTTTGTGGATCCGTTTTAAGCTTGTCGCGATGACTGACAGGGCGGACTTGCCGTCAGCTGGCGTGAAACTGTCCGCGACGAGCTCGGAAGCAAATGCCGGCGGCTCAAGGCCTCCCCGACGTTGCACAACTGCTCAATGGCACTGAGCTTGGTCTCAATCATCGGGGTCGTCTTCCTGTGCTTGGCAGTCGCCTTGGCATACTTCTCCAGAAGGCGGCGGTGCGCCCCTGTGTCCTCGACCCACGTGGCAAACGAAGCCCCCGTCACTGCGTTTACCAGGATCGGGGACAGCACTACGGCCCAACCCGGTCGAGAAAATCGATCCATTTGGTCATCGCCCCCGCGATCTTGGAGCCGTTCTCGTCGGGGACGCAAGCGGGGGCGCGCTGGGGCAGCGCGGCGAGAGACTCCGCGACTGCCCGGGCCGAATCGGCGGCCCCGCCCAGCCATTGATACTCGCGCGAAAAGACGTCTGGCAGGCGCTTCCTTACGCCAGCGCCGAGGACCGCGATCTTCTCGCGGACGCGTTCGATCCTTCGCCATCAGCTCGTTGGCCTCGCGAGAGATCAGCTGCCCAGGGCTTCGCGCGTTCGGCGCGGCCCCCAACTGCGCCGCAGCCTCTATCTTCGCGGGGGGGCGCAGGCTCAATTATAGCAATGGCCTCTGCCAGAGTCTCCGCCATCTCGGAACAAGAGGAGTGCTCGGTCTCCTTGGCGCCGTGGATCACCTGGGACGCTGCCCAACACTCGCAGACAGCGCCCTCGAAATCCAAGTCGACGTCATCGTCACCAGCCGCCAGGGCGCCCAATGCGGCCGCGCACTTGTCCTCGGACTTGACGCGGAGAGCATGCGAGGGGCGGCCCGCGATTAGCTGCTGCTGCTGCTGCTGCCCCTCGCCGACGACGTCGCCGGCGAGCCCGACGGCGCGCGGTGGCCGGGGAGAGATGAGCTGGAAGAATTGCTTGACATCCGCTGCCTTGGCCGCGCTAGCTTCCGCCGCCCCCGGCGCAGACGCGGCGGGGCGTCACCCGGCGTCGTCGCGGGATCGTCAGGGCGGTCGCGGCGAGGTCGCGCTTCGCAGGCCGCGGGCTCGCCGAATGCCAGCGATGGGGGGGCTCGCGTCGGGGCCCCGAGACAGCGCGAAGAGGGCGTCGAGGATGGCCGCCTCCCTTTCCCCCCCCCCCCCCCGTCGAGGACGAGGGCCGCCGCCCCATCAACAGGCAAATTGGGGGTGGAGGGGGGGGGCCTCCTCGCGCGCATCTCGATGCTATCCTGGAATCATCCCGGGATCCACCAAGAGCCCTCCGTCTGAGAGGGCCCTGGAAAGTCCCGCGAAGCTCCGGCGCTCCAGGGCGGCCCCCAGGAAGGCCCGCGCTCGAGCTGCCAAAGCGAATGTCCGCGCGAGCGCGCGCCCTCGCGGACCCCTCCCGGGCCCCCCCCGGACAGCTCTCCAGGGCCGGGGTTGGCAGGCGACGCGGATCGGGGAAGCGCGGCGACGGGGGGCCCGCGGCGGCGCAGGAGAGGTCCGAGGGTAGCCGATGCGGCCCAGGGCCCCACGAACCACGAACAACGATGAGCACGCCCTCGACGTCTCCATCCAACGGCTTTTACGACGCCACCCCCGGCGCGCAAAGAAGACCCAGGATGGCCCGCAGAGGATCTTATGAAGGCCCCAAGAAACCTTATGGAAACGCCTGGCATGATCACCCAAGAGGGGCTTCTTGAGACGCCTCTTCCCTACTCCCCATTTGCTCCTCCTTCCTCATCCTCGCGGCCAGCCCCCTCGTCGTTCTAGACTTCCTGGCGACGGCCGCGGGCGCCGCCAAGTCGCCGAACGGGGGTGAGAGGAGGAGAAACAGGGAGGAGACAACGGAGTGGGAGACAATGGGCGTTGGACACGAGTTCATAAACAACTACCACCATCGTCAGAACCACCAACTTCCCCATCACCATCCTCATCGCCAGCCAGCGCCATCGCAATCATCATTATCTTCACCACCATTTTCCATCATCACCATCACCATCCGCACCATTATCGTCATCATCGCCACCATCCCCATCAACCTCATCACCATGCAGAGGGCAACGCCGTGCTAACAAATGGCGGCCTCGAGGGCCTGCCACGAGGATGGCTTGCGCCATCGCCCCGCCCCCCCAGGAGGGGCGAGAACCCCATGGGCGCGTCACTTAGCAGACTTCTGCCCAACCACCCGCCGTGCCTGGGCTTTGGGTCTGGAGCCTCCACGACCATTGCTAGGGCTATTTCCATAGTACTACAACTACTATCACAACAACTACAACTACAATACTGATATTACTACTACTACTGCTACTACTACTACTACTACTACTACTACGACTACTACTACTACTACTAATAATAATAATAATACGACTATTATTTCTTCTACTACTACTATTACTACTACTATTAATACAAGTGTTACTCTACCACCACTACTCTTGCTACTAGTAGTACAACTACTACTGCTTCGACAACTTCCACCACTGCTACAATACAAGTGCCAGCATTAGCTCTACGACTACCCCTACAACGACTACCAATACTACAACAAAAAGACTACCACAACTGTTACTACTCCGGGTAATGTTGTAACACCTACTGCTACTACTGGTATACAGATTCCTACTACTACTACTGCTACCACTACTACTACGACTACTACTACGCCGACTACTACTACTACTACTACTACTACTACTACTACTACTACCACTGCCACTACTACTACTGCTACTATTTCTACTACTGCTACCACTGCCACTGCTCAGACTACCACTACTCATATTTCTACTACTGCTACTACTACTACTACTACGACTTCTGCGACTACGACTGCCTCGACCACCATCTCCATGACGCCGCGACTACTACTGCTACGATTCGTATTACTATTGTCACTGACACTACGACTACTACTACTGCTGCTACTACTACTTCCAATACGACTACTACTACTACTACTACTACTACTACTACTACTACTATTACCACTGTTACTTTCAATGCGACGGCTACTACTACTACTACTACTACCACTACTACTACTACTACTACGACTACTACTACCAATACTAAGTGACGCCGAAAATTACCACAACCACAACTACAGTTCTCCCACAACTACTACTACTACTACTACTACTACTACTACTGCTGCTACTACTACTACTAATGCTACTACTCCTACTAGTAGTGATACTACTGCTACTTCTACTATCGTGATTAATGCTACTACTACTACTACTACACCTGTTGCAACTACTACTGCTACTTCTACTACTACTATTACTACTGATACTACTGCTATTTCAAATACGACTCGTACTACTGCTACCACTACCACTACTACTACTACTACTACTAGTACCACTACTACTACTACTACTACTACTCCAATACGACTATTACTACAACCACCACCACCACCACTACTAC